GTGGTGGCGCATGCCTGTAATCCCAGCTACGCGGGAGGCTGAGGCAGGAGAATCGCTTGAACCTGGGAGGCAGGTGTTGCAGTGAGCTGAGATCATGCCATTGCACTCCAGCCTGGGCAACAAGAGCAAAAATCAGTGTCCAAAAAAAAACATTGGGGGCAGAATTCCTACTCTGCTCATCAGACCCAAAACAGATGGTTCCCTTTGTACTCCCACATGCATACCGTGGCACCTTCCCAACAGCTGCTGCTTTCAGTTGCCACACAGTTCCCTTCCTCTCTCCCTCCCAAAAAGACGTAGTTCTTTGGGTCTTTTTAAAAATTATTATTATGTATTTTTTCGAGATGGGGTCTTGTTCTGTCACCCAGGCTGGAGTGCAGTGGCATGATCTCGGCTCACTGCAACTTCCACCTCCCGGGTTCAAGTGATTCTCCTGCCTCAGCGTCCCAAGTAGCTGGGATTACAGGCACGTGCCACCACGCCTAATTTTTGTATTCTTAGTAGAGACGGGGTTTCACCATGTTGGTCAGGCTGGTCTTGAACTCTTGACCTTGTGATCCTCCTATCTCGGCCTCCCAAAGTGCTGGGATTACAGGCGTGAGCCACCGCGCCTGGTCTCTTTGGGTCTTAAGAAAGGTATAAAGACTTCACTTTTAGTGACTTTGTCTGACGTTGAATGTGTCAAACTCTGAAAACTAATCCATGCAAGAGGTTCTGGAAAAGTTCCAGGCAATATTACTGGAGTATTTATTACTTTGAGGAAATGCCTTTGATAAGGACATGGTTGGTAGCTTCAATACCTCCCTCATTCCCCAATCATTTGCAAAATCCAGTCAGTTTTGCTTCTGAGTAACTCTGAAATCTGTCCCCTTTGCTAAGATGCAAGCCAGCAGCCCCCACCTGGACCAAAGCACTGGCCTCTGCACCATCTTTGGGACCCCTGCCTTTTCCTCATTCAGCAGCCAGAAAGATGTTTTTAAAAATGCAGATTTGATGTCATTTCCCTGCTTAAAACTGATCAGTGGCCTCCTATTAACCCTTATAACAAGGACCAGAATCCTTACCATGGTTCACGAGGCCCTTCTGCATTGCTGTCTTCTCAGTACCTAGCACAGTTGTGTAGGAATTTTAAAATATGTATCTGTGTAACAAATCATTTGATCCCCTCATGCCCACATAAATGCACAGGTCTCTCCCGTAGCCTGGCTTTCTCTGCTGGAGGGACATGCCGCTGTTTTGCAAGGGCTGGGGAAGCAAGCACCAGCCAGGTTCAGAGAGCCAGTTGTCTGCAGCCAGGGTTCGTTTTCTTAGTCTGGCCACTGAAACGATTGTTATCAACAGGAACCTGTGGTGAACATCACTTTGCTTCCTTCTCTGGCAGCAGCTACCTCAGAAACCCAGCCAAAGGCTCGTTGGGTCTTGTCCTTAGATCTCATGTCCACACACTTCCCTGTTCAAAACTCTAGGAGCCAGGTACAGGAAACCCAGCCTCTCCTGGGAAGCTGCATCAGTGGCTTTGGCGGGTCATAGTGCAGGCAGAGCACTAATCACCAGGGGCCCACCCTGCAGTGCTCACGCAGTTGGCCTCCAGCACTTCCGGCAGGGCTCTTGGAAACAAGATCTGTGGCAACAACTGGGAGTCAGTGCCGAGCTTCTGGCCACACACACCAGTCATCCTCACCCTTCCCCCGTCTTGCCAGTCCTGAGAAGGACTGGATCTTCAGTCTTAGGCTGCTGTGACCCCTAGCAGGACAGAGCCCAGACTGTGCTCCCTGCAGCACAGTGCCCCTGGGCCAGCTAGGAGCGCAGCTAGAGTGGGTTGCATGAGTTGTGAATTTTGGGTCAACGTATTCCTACTAATAAGCACTGTTGACACCTGAGAGCTATTCCTGAAAGATTTTGTGGTTTAGAGAGGGCCATGATGAGTATGTTTAGAGTACTGATAAAACGTGCTTCGTAAGAAATAAATTCGAATGCCTCCTGCTCCCATCAAGCATCAGCAACTCTAGTGAAGCATGGTCAGCCTGGAGATCTGAAAAATTCAGACAGGTATTTGACGAATGTTTACCTTTTTGTTACTTATAAACCACTGATAAATAATTTAAGACTTTACAAATATTATTATAGTATTTCTGTTAAGATGGGATATACTATGCTTCAGTAGCCAATACATGTCGAAATCTCAGTGGCTCACCCTAGCAAAGGTTTATTTAATGGCCATGTCAAGATCTAATTTTTTTTTTTTGAGACAGGGTCTTGTTCTCTTGTCCAGGCTGGAGTGCAGTGGTGTGACCACAGCTCACTGCAGCCTCGACCTCCTGGGCTCAAGCAATTATCTCACTTTAGCCTCCCAAGTAGCTGGTACGTGTGCCACCACACCCAACCTATTTATTTATTTATTTATTTATTTATTTATTTATTTATTTATTTTTTGGAGAGGCAAGTTTTTGCTGTGTTGCCTAGGCTGGTCTTGAACTCCTGAACTCAAGCAATCTTTCTGTCTCGGCCTCCCAAAGTGCTGGGACTATAGGCGTGAACCACCACACCCAGCCTCATGGTCTGTCTTGAACCGTGCCGAGAGCGTTGGAGATAAAGGACTGGGAGTCCCTGAAGCTTTTATCAGACCTGCTCCTGTCTCATTGCCAGAACCAGTCTCATGGCTCCAAACTGCAAGAGGAGCTGGGGAGTGGAGGATATACTTCCGTGGATATGGGGTGAGCACTAACAGTATCTGACACATTGATTACCTGTCAGCATTGTGATTAACTGCTGCCCACAGAGTGCTTACCATGGACCAAGCACTTTATTCACATCTTATTAATCCTCACAGAAATCCAAAGAGGTGGGCGCCATTTCACCCCATTTCACACTTGGGAGATTGATGCTCAGAGCTGTGAAGAAACTGAGGAGGTTACACATGTAGATTGGGTCTAGTTAGTATCCTCACCAGCTCTGTCTGATTCCAAAGCCCAGCTGGGCTACAGTGTTACTACTTCATTAACATAGGTTTCCTCAGGCTTTCCATATGTCAGTATTTTGACCTTGTGGCTGTATGCACTTGAGAGCAATGCACCTGCCTTGCTTTAAGCAGATTTGATAAGAATTCTTCCTCCCATCGTTGCCCTGCCAATGGTGCTAAACTTCACCCACTACGCACTCCTGAGCCTCTGCAGGTGAAATGGTTGAAAACAGCTTCCCAGTGAAAGAATCTGGATTCAGCCACAGCATCGTAGGAATGCCTCATTTCAATCACCTGATAACCACCTGAGTGCAGTGGGTTTGCAGGACTCCCTTGCAAACCCACTGTGACAGCTGCAGCCTTACAGACTTAACTGCCAAGTGCACAAGCTTCTCATGCCAAACACTATATGTCTTTGTGGCTTTTACTGTCCCTGGGGCCCGATCAGTGCAAATGATGGCCTTTTACCCTATTGGCAGTCACAGGAGACTAACATTTCCTTCAGGAATGCTTCCACTTGAAATGTACATGCAGGATGTTGAGAATGGATTTTAGGGCCTTGATTATTTACCACTTGTAGAAAGCATTTTATTTCACAAGGAACAAGTTGTGGCCTGTGGTACTCAACCTTGGCTGCACCTTAGAATCCTCCGGGAGCTTCTAAAAATCCTGATGCCCACACCACTCCCCAGACCGACTATTCCTTCACAAGCTCTGCGGGCGGGCCCCGGGCATCAGGATTTCGTAGAGCTTCCTCAGTGATTTCAAGCTGCTGCTAACTTAACGCCCTCCACTGTAGACTGATTTTTGCCAGAATCAGCAGGGTGTAGAGAAGCAAGGGAGAAAAAACAGGAACTTTAGGAATTGTTAGCCTGACACTAGAGCCAAACTCTCCTGAGGAATTCAAATTAGTTATTGTCACCTTTGTTTCCCCATAGCAAATACAGCCAACATAAATGTCAATTAATTAATTAAAAAATGTACCCAAAGCTGAGCAATGTAAGGCCCTCCAGCCTGGAACCATGTGCTGTTCAAAGTTGAGAGTGGTGTTTTTGTCTTGGCTTGTTGCTGACTAGCATATATTTTTAAAATCATGATCCTTTAAGATACATGCCAAGAGATAATGTTTTTATTAAATCAAAATGCTGTACAGATATTAATGACTTAGTTGTGGAAAATGTCATTAAAACATAGTTGTCTTCTCTTTGAACAGGGCCTTCAACCTTTTTAAGCTCTGAGGGTTAGGTGAGGGAGTTTGTCAAGAAAAAACTATGATGTGGCTGTACAAAGGTTTTAAATTGTGCTCTATGAAAATATATTACAAATGAGTGTGTTTTTTTGTTTTTTTTTTCCCCCCTGAGATGGAGTCTTGCTCTGCGCCCAGACTGGAGTGCAGTGGTGCAACCTTGGCTTACTGCAACCTCTGCCTCCCAGGTTCAAGCAATTCTCCTGCCTCAGCCTCCCGAGTAGCTGGGATTTCAGGCATGTGCCACCACACCCAGCTAATTTTTGTATTTTTAGTAGAGACGGGGTTTTACCACGTTGGCCAGGCTGGTCTGGAACTCCTGACCTTAGGTGATCTGCCCGCCTTGGCCTCCCAAAGTGCTGGGATTACAGGCATGAGCCACCACGCCCGGCCTACAAATGTGTTTTATTTTAATAAACCTGCAAAGGGAGAAGTCTTTCCACATTAAATAATTTACTTAAAAGCTTGGAAACAATGTTATACATTGATGTGAGGTTTTTTGCTTATTTTAAAAAGGTATTTGTTGCCACCATCCCAGAAATGGGAGGTGGCTGTACCCCTTACTTACCTGGTGGCATCTGAGTTCCACTTGCCATCTCTTTCTACAAATGACGAGAAAGCACAGCAAGCCTAGCTGGCTCTGCAGCTTTCCATGGGAACTGTGTCTTCCTCCGCCATGTCATCATGCTGTCAGGAGTTGGAAACTTACAAAGAGTGAATTGGGGGGTGTGGGCTGAAGTCCTCTGGACATTAGGCCAGGATTTTTCATAGTGACGCGATAAACACTCACTCCTTACGGTGCACTAACTCATAGATGATTTATTGCCGTAAGTAACTAAACAAGAGAAGAGACAGGCTGTGGTTTTGGTCAAGACAATCGGCATTCTCTCTCCAGGGTTCGCCAGTTGCATCTACGTAAAGCCTTAATACTCTGGACGATATAAACACATAATAGTTACAGCATACATGGGTAACAACTTGACCAGTGTTACACTGATTAAAATAGCACATAACAAGGGTGCCAGCCAGTCCCGACGCCCTGAAATGGCAGAAGTAATGTGTGTTCGTTCCTATGATGTGCTGAGTACAAAACCTTTAAAAACAACTTTTTGGCATTAATACTAACAGAATACTTCCTTGAACATTCTGCAAGAGTAGGTGCAGACACAGAATTACTTCTTCATTTCCAGATTACCAGTATCTATAGGACTATTTAGAGAAAAGCTGGGAGGCAGAGTACCTCCCCGATGTCATTTTATTTGCCAAAGCAGAAGAGTCTAAGGGGTTTAGGTGGAGGAGGGCAGCTGACAGGGCTCCTGGAGGAGTTAAGTCACCAAGTCGCTGCAGTGGATGGACACTGCCCCACAAGGTGTGGGATGAACAGCAGTCTTGGTTTGTGGCCCAGGGTGTCCATGGATTTGACCCGAACGCTCCCTGGAGGCCCTGTGGTGGGACAGGCACTGGATGGTCCAGACCCTCTGGCTGGAGGAGTGGTGGAGCCAGGACTGGGCCTCCAGCCATGAGGGCTAGAAGAGATAACCTGACCTCTTGCATTCTAACACTGGGTCATTAATGACACCTTTCCAGTGGATGTGCAAAAACCAACACTGTCAGGAACTTGGCCCTGGGAGGGCTCAGGTGAGCTCACAAGGAGAGGTCAAGCCAAGCCAAAGGGTAGCTAACACACAACACCAGGGAAACCAGCCCCCAAACCAGCTGTTGGTAAGATGCCTTGGGTTTGGCAACTCACCTAGTTTTAACACAAATTGCCCGAGACTCAGTTTTCTTGAACCGTACCAAGCTCTCTGATTTCCTCAGCATCCCCATTCCTGGCATCCTCTCCAGGATTGGAGTGCCCAGTGCAAAGCCCCACTGGGGCCCTGCTGTGGCTGGCAGGACCATTCTGCATAGCCTCGCCCTCCACACCCACCCCACACAGCTGGCCACCAGGGGACAGCTGTTCTCCCTTGTCCTCTTGGACAGGGCCCTTCATCTCCTCGGAGACTCCGCCCTCCTGCTGCTGTCCTGAAACACAGTTTCCCATGTCTCCAGCTTTGGAAGACTGGTCTTCTAAATTCTTCTCATTTTCTTCTGCTTGTCGTTTGTCTCTGGCACTGAGTTTACCTTTCGATTTCCTCATCTGCCTGTTGTGCATTTCTTCTCTGGAGAATCGCCACTGAAACTAGAAATCAGAGCGAATGGGGATAAATAACAAGCCTCTGGGAACCCAGAGCTTCACCCGAAGCCTTGTTTGCATTCATACCCACACCATGTCTGAGTGAGACATAAAATTCCCAGCACCCTTCAGCCAAGCAGTACAGGCACCAAACTTGAATCACACCCAATCACATCACACCCACCCCAAGAGCCTGCACCACGCCTTCCAGGATGTGTATTTTAGATGTAGATTTCAGGTTCTATGGGGGCAGAGGAGTATTTCTTTTGACTGGCTCTATACCAGAGGCCCACATAGGAAAGGGCTCCTGAAGTCTATCATTTGGAGGGTCAGGATGGAGAGGAGATGTGAGGCCTGCCCCCAATAAGAGCCAGAGCTGCAGCCACTCATTTCCATTCTGAGCAGGCTGAGGATTACCAGCCATGGGGCTGGCATTCTCTCGCCAGGTCACCTAAGGCAGAGCCCAGAACATTGGGGGGACACTGTGCTGTACAGCTCAGATCCCCCTACAGGACCAGCGGGCCCACTCCCCAGCTAGGCCGATAGCCCTTTGCTGACCACCACCTCACAGAAGGTCACACCAGGGCAACCTACAACCAGTGACTGCCCCAGGTGGGATACAACAACCCATTTCCTGATCCCAATTTGGGACAACGCAAACGCCATCCCAGCTCCAAGCCAACCTGGGGGGTTGTGACTGCATCACAGCCCAAATTCTCCCTCTGCCCGCTCCTGTACCGACAAGTGTTCCTAAAGTGACTCCCTCTAAAAACTTCTTCCCCCCAAATCTCAGAGGCCGCTTCCCAGGGGGCCCAGCCTGCAACCAGGCATTTCCCGGTGTGACAGGGAAGTCAGGGGCTCAGAGTCCCAAAGTCACGCAGCCAGTAATAGAGTTGGGCAACAAGCAGGGTCTTACCAAATCTCTGGAGCAAGACCACCCGAGAGAGAGCCCCAGCTCCGCCACTGACTGGCCAAGCTTCTCAGTCTGAATTTCTCATTTCAGTGGCCCAGAGTGCACACAAGGTTTTAGTTTTCACTTCCCACCATGACCACTGCCTTGTGCTTCAGCTGCATCATGTTGGTTTCACCAAATAGGCACTTAAATCTTGGATATTATATAATTGAAAGAAAAAGGGAGCTCTCTGTTCCTATGATTTCTTGCTGGGCTCGAGAAAGGAGCCCAGGAATGCAGTTGCACCATCAGTGGGAAATGATTTCTTAAGGCTTTACCATGTTGTAAATCATTCTGAGCGCTTTGCTAGGAAAAACCAAAAATGTGCTATGTAAATGTTTAAAAATCTGCCATTTTCGTAGTTTTCCACAGTAGAGATCTATTTCCTCAGATAAAACATTTGCCTAGACACAGAATTCTGAGATTTAATACATTTTAGGATTCTTGGATTTAGCACCTTTTAGATAAGAATGGTAATGGAATGTTTCATTAAAGTAGAGAAACATGAGTGAAATACATGTTGAGGTTAGGATTTAACATTTATCTGGTCCTTTCCCACCCCGTACCCCACAAAATCCCCAAATGAGTTCCCTTACAATGTTGGATGGGTTTCTCCTCTGACCTCTTTTGAAATGTCTCATACTCTAGCTGCAGACTTCCCCTAGGAGATGGGTGGAGCTTCTTCCACCCAAACTGTGAGGATCCCAAAAATGGAATCACTGTAGGGTAAGCAGTGTCTCAGACCCACCTCCTCCTTCATCCAAGCCTGCCAGGCAGGCATCTCAAGGCTCCAAACCCACCAGAGGAGGCCACTGATTTTAGCCCTCAGCATGACCGTGGCTGCCTCCACCAAGCCTCCATAGTTTCCGGGCACGTGTTATGGTTCATAACTGCTGCCCTGTGCTAGGCAGCTGCTGTTGCTATTCCAGCCCAAATGTAAGAGTCTCTTCTTTTTTTTTTTTTAAATGGATGTTCCAAAACAGTCAGAGCCTCTTCACATTTTATATCATTTTACATGTCTTTAGAAAAAGACCAGTGAAGCCTACCTGTGTAATACAGTACTCCGAGAGGCAGTCGGCTCTCAGGGAAGTCAGAGGAAGTTTTACTGTTGCCAAAAAAAGTGGTGATTGTTTTGGCTAAGAGGCCTTAAGTGCTAAAATGTCAAAGCATTATAGTATAGGTTCAAATCCTAGTGCTGGTACTTGTTAGCTCTCAGTCCTTAGGCAGGTTATGAATCAGTTTCAAGTTACTGATCTCTAAAATGGTTGTCTCTGCCTCCAGGACTGCGGTGCACACCTCCAGGGCCCCATTCATATTGTATTTCATGTGAGTAGCGCCCTCTGCTGTTGTGCAGTGTACTACTGAGGACAGTTCCACCACCTGCTCGACCTTCCATGTAATAGGAGCCCAGATACTCTCTCAGGGGCTGCTCTTGCTAAATAAACAACAGAGCTTCCATAGTTTCCTCTGGATGCCTGGCCATATCCAGTTTCCTGTAGAAGATCACATCTTGTTGATCTCCTGGTATAATACAAAACGAGAACACAAACGGTAGAAAACAAACAGCAAAAACTGTTTCAGATCCCAACAGTTCAAAAAGGAGACGTCTCAGAAAGCAAGAGGAGGCCTGGAGTGTGCCAGATTTCAGTTGAGCCTCTGAGGTGAGGTCTAACATCCACACCACTTAAAGGCAGGCAGTCCAGCCTGGGGAGTGGACTCTATGTTTTGAGCAGGACCGGGGGAGTCTCTGAACTTAACCAGCAAGCGGCAGATAAAACCGTTGGCCTTCCCAAGCCAGAGCATCTGTGGCAGTTGGGTGTGTCACCAAATCCAATTAGCTGCCCAATTCAGAAATAACTGTGTAAAAGAAAAAAAGAAACGCTTCACTTTACAGCAGTGTGTGTCCAGAGTTCCATGTCAGCAGGAGCCAGTGGATTCAATTTGCATATTTTAAAAACTGCCCATTATGTGTCCACTTCAAGTAGTTGAGCTGGAAGGAAGTCTTCCCCTGAATTGTAGAAACCACCTACTCCCTTTGAAGGAGTTTAATATTTGCCTTGAAAATCACACACACGTACACAGAGGTTTCTTTCCAGTGCTGAAAAGTCTTGATTAGAAAATTCAGTCCATGTTGCTGATTGAAAGAGGACTAAATATGCCACATCCTTGGCGTGCCAATCTTGCAATTTCTTAAGTTGTAATGCTGGACATACTACGTATGTCCTCGCTCAGAAGTTGATTACTCATTCATTGATTCAACAAGTATCTGTTGAGCACCAATTAAAAGGTCTCAACAGGAAAAAGGGCTTTGCTCTTGTGGAGATTATGTCTGACTCTATCTGGAAAGGATAAAATTATGATCACAAATAACTAAAAGCCCAGAGGAGAGCTCTGAAGGAGAAGAACGTGGTTCTTTTCCAGTGTAGTACAAAGGAGTCTGGTTTGGTATAAAAGGAGACAGCACTGTCCTGAGAAAAGGATGCTCAAGTAGAGCTAGAAAGAAGGAGTGTGTCCTTGGTAGAGGGGACATAGAAGAGCTGGAGGCCACAGAGGAGCTGGAGGCCACAGAGAATGGGAGGCTGGCAGAGGAGGTAAGAGGGGCCAGATCCCTCGGGGCCTTGAGGGCCACAGTACTGATTTCCATCTTTGTCTTCAGAGTCATACAAAACTAGAACTCCTTTGAGCAGTGGGATGACAGGATTCAAGTTGCCTTTTTAACAGATCACTTGGGCTCTGAATAGAGAACCTATTTGAAGGGGAGATCTGTTATTAGGAGACTGCAGTAGCTGAGGCGAGTGATGGTAGAGAAAAGTGGAGGGATTCCAGAGCCTCTGGGACCTAACACAGATGGGTCTTAAGGATGGACTGAATATAGGGGAAGAAGTGGGGAGGGTCAGCAGGGACAGCCCCTAAGGGGTGATGCCGTTCCTCTAGATAGGGTGGCGGTGGGCCAGGTGGGCCAGGTATGGGGAGGGGGAGAGTCATAGGTTTGCTCGAGCCACAGCATGGATGGAGCCGGAGTCTTGGGGCACAGTGAGGGCTGAAAATGCAGGCGGAATGGTCACTGGCACAGAGGTGGTAAAAGAGATTTTCTAAGGAAGAGGCAAGAGTGAAGGGAGAAATGGGCCTGGGTCTGAACCCTGAGGAACTTAGTGGGAAACCAGGAGAATGAGGTGGGAAAGAACCAAGAGAAAGCTGCTTCAGGGAGTGGGGGTGGTCCCAGCATCAGGGCTGCAAGAGCTCAGGCATCATGAGGACTAGATGGAGTGACTCGGTCACCAGGGGACACAGGCCTGTGGGAGCAGGACGCTGACCCGTGTCAGCTGAGGAGTGAGGAGGGGACACCCAGTGCAGAAGATTCTTCCAAGGAGTCTGGCTGTGAAGCCCCCTCTCTGGAGGACTCCTATCTGTGAGGTGACCCAGAGGGTCTCGTGTAGAACAAGCGCTCCACACCAGTCACCTACAGTCTTGGAATGAAGCAGGAAATCATTAGGTACATGGAAAGAGAGAGCAGTCCACCCAGATGAGTACAGCTGCTTGGGATGAGAAGTTTTTACTGACTGCAAGAACAGTGAGTCCCATCCTCTGAGTTTTCCCTGAGGAAAGTCAGTTCTACCTTATTACAACAGCTTTTATAAATCTACCTCTAAAATCTCCCTGCCTACTCAAGTTTCCACTGATTTGTCCCCCTGCATGCGATGCCATGGCCTTCACACCACCATCCAACCACGTGCCTCTCCTTTGGAATCTGTGTGCCCCACCGTCAGGAAGCTGTTAGGCAAAGGTGGCACTGTCTCCCCTCTGTAAGGCTGCCGCGGTGTCTGTCAGCATCTGACAGGGGCCCTCATGTGCACTGCGTGTTGAATGTCGCACTTGCTGAATGCACGCAGTCCCTGTGACTGAGCTGAAACTGACAGCGCTCTGCAGCCGATCCATCTTCCAGCTGGTGGCTGCCTGCTCCTGGTGGTTGATGGTGGGCTGGCAGTTGCCTTCTGGTCCACTGTGCCATCACCTGTCACATTACACCTTCAGAGCCTGGATAAAGACCTTCCTCCACACTCCAGCCCATCTGGCTTCAAGTCACCATTGCCTTGGCACTCCTTCCACAAGTGGGCTCCCCCTGGAGTTGTTGGCTGGTGAGGGGCTGCTCCAATCTGTTCATTTGCTTGATGCTCCTTCCCAGGGCTCTGTGTCCAAAGAACACGAGGAACCAAGCGTGAGGAACGCAGGGGTGATGCCGAGAGTGAGGAGCTGAGCAGGTCAGGCAGGCCCTGCCGAGAATGTGGCCTCAGCCATCAAAGGTACAGTGAGCTGAATCCAGGTGATGCCTGACTCAGGCTTTGGTGGGTCCACTCGACTCACTGGCCTCTTCCCCAGCAACTGGTGAAAACGTCCTCAGGAAAAGCACCACAGACTGCTCAGGGCGGGGTGGGAAGCATCAGAATCATCTGGCACAAGGGTTGCCGACACTTGCACCTCGTACAACCCTTGTGCTCACCTTCAGGAATCACAGAGAAGACTCTCTGAGAAGGCCAGTTTCTAGGGTAGTTCAGAGTCCAGAGAGGGGGGAAACGGGCCCTGGGCATCTCTGAGGACAGCCTGGCCTGAGGACTTGCTGCCACAGGCTACGGCTAGCATCACCAGCTGTCACACGGAGGCCTTTGGGTCTAGGCCTGTCATGAAGAGATTCTGGCAGGGTCTCTCTGCCCAGGTCACCACACTTTTAATGTCCTAAGGAATCTAACAGGGCAGGCCAGAGCTCCAACTAGCTGGTAATGACATTAAGACACAAAGAAGCTGGCCATGAACTCAAGCCATCCCCACCCTGTGGTCAGGCTGCAGCTGACTTCGTGCCCTTCTTTTCATCCTAGTGGGAATATCTGGCAGGCTGGAGCCTCCAGAAGAGCCTCTCTCCTCCATCCTTCTGGCCTGCCCAGCAGGACAGTGGCAGACAAGGCACTCCAGCCCCCTTGGCTGTCCCGTGTTAGCAACCTGAGATGTGATTCAGGTTGCCAGGGGCTCAGGTGTTCCTTGGGCTCTGCGAGCCCTTGGAAGCTAGAGCAAGCTACCCCCTCAAATGCTGCAGAAAATGCACTGAAGATGAAGCCCTGCTGAGGAAAACCTAGGAAGGCCATCAGAGTCTCTTACCTTCGATTCCTTCTTCTTGATTTTCTGAGGTAGACACGGTCTCTGAAGAAAGACAATTTGCTTGGTGGATACACTCCCCTCACTGTAACACACGGAGCTGAGAATGAGCCACTTTATGCCTTAGAGGAACCCAAAACCTGACGCAGATGTTGCCATCCCTAATTTCATCAAAGCAGACCACCCACGGGATTATGACAGAAGTCAAGAGGCGCCTGCTCTACTCTCCCGTGCCCAGGCCATCCAGCCTTGCTTCCAAGGGGCTACCTCAGATGCCCAACAAAAGCTTTTTGGGTATCCCTACAAACTGAGCTTCCTAGCTGGACATGCCCATTCCCTTAATGGGAAGTAACAGTATCTTGGCCAAATGAGGACACACTGGCTGCTTCAGTGGATCTCAAAGGGGCAGGAGCCTCTTCCACATCTGTCTGTGGTAATGATGGGCAGGTAGATAAGGACCTGGGTGATGAGCTCAGCCCTCCAGCTGCTACAGGACCGTGGGCAGAGGTCATGGCTGCACCCCGGGTCTCAGCCATGCATGACTCCTGCAGGCACAGCAAAGACTGCGCAGCACCAGGCAGGCCCTGCAAGGCAGTGCCTGTTAACCAACTCTGGCTCACATGAACAAAACAGGCGAGGGAGGGGCAGCTCGTATCTTACAATACAGTGAATACTCTCTTCCCAGGAAGGCAGGACCCCAGAGCTGCCTTTAAAGATGATAGAAATATTGTAAAGAGGATCACCGTGTTTTTTTTCCCCTGCTTCCACCCTTCTGATGATTTTGTATTTTATTTTTAATTTATAAATAATAATTGTATATTTATGGGGTAGAGTGTGATGTTCTGATATATGTTTACAATGTGGACTGATTAAATCAGGCTACTTAACAAATCCATCACCTCACATACTTAGCATTTTTTGTGGTAAAAACATTTAAAAGCTACTCTTTTAGGAATTGTAAAATATACAAGGCATTATTGTTTGTAATAGTCACCATTCTGTGCAATAGATGACCAAGGCTTATTCCTCCTAAGTGAAACTTTGTACCCTTTGATCAACATCTCTCCTTTGCCCATCTGCCCCACTCCCTAGCCTCTGGTAAACACCATTCTACTCTCTACTTCTATGAGTTCAACCTTTTTAGATTCCACATACGAGAGAGAGTATAAGGTATGTCATTCTGTGCCTGGCTTATTTCATTTAGCATAATGTCTTCCAGGCTCATCCTTGTCACAAATAACAGAATGTCCCCGACCCCCCTTTTAAGGCTGAATAGTATTCCATTGTTTGTGTGTGTGTGTGTGTGTGTGTGTGTGTGTGTATCACATTTTTTTTTATCCATCCGTCTGATGAAGGACCCCTAAGCTGCTTCCATTTCTTAGCTGTTGTGAATATTGCTGCAAAGATCATGAAAATGCAGACACCTCTTCTGCATACTGATTTCAGTTCCTTTGGATATATACCTAGAAGTGGGATTACTGGATCATGTGCTAAGTCTATCTTTAGTTTTCTGAGAAACCTCTGTACTATTTTCCATAATGGCTATATTAATTTACAGTCCCACCAAGAGTGTACAAGGGTTCTCTTTTCTCTATACCCTTGCCAACACTTATCTTTTGTCTTTTTGATAATAGCCATCCCAATCAGTGTGAGGCTATATATCACTGTGGTTTTAATTTGCAATTCTTAAATCTCTGTTTTGTAAGTAAGTGTCTTTACATGTTACTGCATTCAGCTACAAAGTCTCTAAGAAAAAGGAGGGAGAGAACTAATATTTGCTCTGCACCTATTTTGTGTAGCGGCTGGGCTGGGTGATTTCACACATAATGGCTCATTTAAGCTTCACTTCAATGCTCTACAGAATCCGACTACCACTTTTATAGAAGGAAGCAAAAGCTCAGCTCAAGAGCAGGCTGGAGATCACACAGTGAGGATTCAAACACAGATCTGCCCAGTTCCATGCACTCTCCATTCCACCATAAGTGGTCGTTTAAGGAACAGGGAGTTGGAGGATTAGGAAGGATTATTTAGCAGGTGTGAAGGTCTGAGGCAGACAGACCTGTCTCTAGTCCCTGGGCTTAGATGGCTCAGAACCAGCTGGGCCTTCACATTCAAATACATTCTCATTATGAGTCTTGTCCTCTGGAAACTGACCAGGAAACTAACTCAGAGAAGCTACCGTCACTTGACCAACATGACACGGTAAGTGGCAGACTGAGGACTTGGGTTCAAGTCTTCAGGCCCCAAATCCAGGGTTCTTTCTACACCACTGCATTGCCCTATGCCTGCTGAAGTCTTGGCTGAGAAGGAACATGGTGGTTTCCAGTGGCCAAGGGGCTTAAAAGTGGCCACAGGCTGGCTCCCCCTGGTGCACTGACCCACTGTGACCTAATGTGGACTCTGAGGATCCTGGCGAGCCAGAGGAGGGACTAGGAAAGACATCAGTTATCACCAGGATTCTGCACTCTAGATCACCCTGGCCGCCAGCCTTGCCCTGTGCTGTCCATCAGTCTGCAGTGGTGAATGTGCAGTAAGGCTTGGGAAAGGTGGAGCTCTGGGAGCCACACAGAGGCGGCCTGCTCCAGGAAGAGTGCCTGACTCTGCGGACTGAGGTTCTAGGCCCAGTTTCTGCCACTTACTGGTGGGTAGCCTTAAGTATGTGACCAAGCCTCCCCTAGCCTCAGTTTCCTCATCTGCAAAATGGGAATCATATCCATGCTTACAGCCCCACAGGGCAGACTGATTTGGATAGTAAGCCCAACATATAGATGGAGGGCCTTTTATGGTTGCTGTGACTGGGCTCAAGGGAGCGTAAGCAGATCTGAGAGTGGACAAATGAGCATGAACCTGAAATTATAAGGAATGCCGCACCAAGGCCTGAAAGGCAGGCCTTTACAGTCCCTTTGTGGGGCTGGTGACCAGTGCCGCGATCTTGGGCAAGTCCCTCAACCTCCCTGGCCACACTTTCCTCAGCTGCAAAATGGGTTTAATAATAATACAATTCTACCTCACAGGATTTTTCTTTTCTTTGTGAGGACTGAGATATTTATATATAAACTGCCTACCTAGCCTAGCACAAGGCACATAGTAGGTGCTGAATTTCTTTTGCATTGGAGGCTCTGAACCCCCTCAGTCTGAACAGCTCATCTTTGACATGCTGGGCAGTAATGACTCACAGGGCCCCCTATGTGGGAAGAGGGGTGCAGGGGAGTTTTCTGGGTGATGGTGGTTAAGAATGCGAAATTCTGGCTCTGCTGCTTCCCAGTGGGAGAGTTTATATAACTACCAGCCTCTTGCACAGGATTAAATAATTTATAGACATGAGGTGCTCATTAGCAACAGTGACTAGCACAGAGGAAGTGTTCAATAGAATCCTAATGATTACTGTTATTGTTACCTGGTAGTCTTGACGACGGGAGTTGGTAGCACACAGGTGAGCTGCCAGCCATAGGCCGCCAGCGAGTTCAGCAGGGGCACGTAGTCTGTCTGCACTTCGACACCCTGGGGGAACAAGGCCAGCATTAGGGCTGCTGCTGCCACAAGCCAGCTCCCAAGCAGTGAGAGGGGACTATTCCATCTGCCGATCCAGCAACGCAGAAAAGAAGTGGCGGTGCCCGGCCGCTCAGAGGCTCCTGCTCCGATGCTTGCTGAAGACTTTAAAAGTTTGGAGTCAAACCGCGAACATGGGATTTCTTTCTGGGCCCCATTTCAGTCTGTGATGTCAGCAAGGAATTAGAGCCAAAAGATTAATCCATTAATTTTGTTTGATTCTCATCTGGACAAATAGCCTCCTGTGAGTTTCACTGACGGAGCATAATTGTTGTGCCCCTGAGCGGTATCCAGGGCATGTCACTACATGTGCTGCTCTGGATGAGTTCAGAGTGTGTTGTGAGGAGTTCACTTACATTTGACAAATGATCAAGTCGTTTGTGTCCAGCCACAGTAGCAACACACACATGCACATCCACACGTGTGTGCACACGCAGCAGCCGCTTTGCCTGTGTTATGTGCCCCGCCTTGCAGGGATAAATGAATGCTGCCATGTTTTATTTCAAATTAGGATCTGGGGGAACTAACATTTGTCTTTCAATTAAAAAACTCAGCCCCCTGCTGGCACAGGGAGAGAGCCCTGATGTGAGGCCCCAGCACTGGCTTCCACCTCTGTAGGCATTCTCACTGCAACAGGCCTCATTTCTTACTCTGGGCTCCTCACTAACACTGAAAGTATAGCCCCCACCCCTGCCCTGTGTGTAACTGGACTCCCCATCCCTCATAGTTTGGCTTCTTGTAGTTGGCTTCCGAAAATCTCAATCATGTATCCAGATTCCTTCCACCCTGTATGCCCACAAAGTTCATTTATCAGCTACTCTAGAGCCATGGTGGGTGCAAAGGCACGGCCCTGGCCCCTGGAGTTCACAGACTAGCAGAGTCAACAGCACAAACATGCCAGGAACTGAAAACCTAAGGGCTCTCTGGCAGGGCCATGAGACTTTGAATGCCAGCAGAGGTGGGAGAGATCCCAGCCACAGTCAAAGCAGGCTTCCTGGGGCAAAAATTAGAAGGCAAAGCCAGGCCTAGAGTGCCAAGGTCTGTGGTCGGCTTAACTCAGAGGCAGCGCACATGACCGTGGTCTGGAGTGCTCCACCCAGAAGGTGGCCATGTGTGGTGAGTGGCTATCCTGCTGGCGGCCCTTTGGGAACAAAACCAGCTCATCTGGATACCCTGGGTGAGTGGGATGGAAGGGAGAGGAGGAACAACCTACCCACCCTGCCTCTTCAAATGGCTTTTAAAGCTTCTATAACTGGACACCAGTTCCAGAGTGGCTATCAAGTCACCTGAACCCTTGGCGACTAACTTATCCCTCAGCAGCCTCAGTTTCCTCAGCTGTATAAAATGGGTACTGGCCTATGTCAGTGGTTCCCAAAGCATGGGCCCTGAGCTGGCAGCATCAGTATCACCTGGGAACTTGTTAGAAGCCCAGATTCTCAGGGCCCCATCCCAGACCTGATGAATCAGGAACTCTGGGAGTAGGGCCCCAGAATCTGTGTTTTAAAAAGCCCTTCCCAGTAGTCCTGATATAGCTAAATCTGAGAACAACCGCCTAGGTAATCATGTAGGTCCCTCCTGGCAAAAGAAAAGTCTGTAATTCTGTGGCCAGAATGTATCAGCTGTTGTCTCAAATCTAAGTGTTCCCACCATTCTCCATGTGAGAAAAAAAAATTTTTTTTAAAGGATCAGCTCTGTTAGAAATTCTGCTGCACTGCAAGGGAATGGACGGAGCTAGGGGAGAAAAGAAGGAAAGTGCTAAGGTTTGAATGTGTCCCCCCAAAAGTTTCCATGTGTTGAAAACTTAATCCCCAATGCAACGACATTGAATGGTGAGGCCTCATGGGAGTGTTTAGGTCAGAAGAGCTCCACTCTTGTGAATGGGTTAATACCAACTCAGGCAAAGGGCTTGAGGCTACAAGTGCAGTCTCCTGCTCTCTCCCCCATTCTCTGCCCCTCTGCCATGGGATGACGCAGCAAGAAGGCGCTCACAAGATGCCAGGCCCTCGACCTTGGACTTCCCAGCCTCCAGGACCAGCAGCCAAGAACTGTCTGTCCTTTATAAATTGCCTGATCTCAGGTATCCTGTTCTAGTAGCACAAGTGGACTGAGACAGGGCAGAAATGGAGAAGGGGAAAGGGAAAAAGGAAACTTAGTAAAAGAAGGGGGAAAGGAGGAGGGAAGGGAGGAAAGGAGAGAGAGGTATAAGAATAATCTGTTTACAGGAGGGGCCAGGAGAGAATGCCATTCTGGTCCCTTCCCTGAAGCCCCTATCAGGCCAGAGATGGCCCAGCAGTTGTAACCATCCTTTCTGCCTGGCCTCCAGGCACACGCATGCCTCCCTTCCAGATGAGCACAGCCTGTATTCCTCCTGCTGCGTGCCATGCTCACCACTTGCTGAAGGAGCCCTGAGGTTGCTTTATCCTGAGAATCCCTGCCCCCATCCCCATATTCCCAGTTTAAAGAGAGGAGGAAAAACAATTTTAAATCCACACTCTCAAGCTTTGCGAGGTTATGATTACTTGGGCCTATCAAGAATAACCTTCCCACTTTATCAAGCACTGTGACAAACCCGCCACAATCAGACAGTAGCCATGGCAACCAGGACAAGCTTTGGTGCCTCACAAAGCCCTGAGTGGCAGAATGGAGTCCTTTTATTGGTGGCTGCATCCTGGGCCGGGTTTTCTCTGTGGGCACCCAGAGCTGCGAGACAATGAACGACCCCTGCTGCAGCCCAACCCGCCTGCTTAGACAGACTGCAAACCGGCTGCTTCTATTTTGCTCCGTTTTATTTCATTTTGTCACTCTCTTAAAGAAGAAAACAGCGGGATTTCTCCCAAACATTTTTTTCCCCTCAGGATAGGAGATGTCAGCCAGAGGGTACCGAATCATAAAGACCAAAAGCAAAAGGGAAAACACAACAAAACGTACCCCTGCTTGAGAGAGCTGAAGGTTCAATCTCACGTGTTAATTTCTGGCCATCACATGGTGCGTTGACAAGTAAAATACAAATGGTAGGGGTGAGATGTTGCACTCTGCCAGACTCTCCCACTCCAACTATCTGGGATGGTCTTGGCTTAATTAATGTTAAATGTGATTTTCCGTAAGCATCTATCATAGCCCTTTTGCATATTTATCAATATAGTAAAGAGATGGCATTTCTAAAATACGAGATGAGCCTGTCAGTGAAAGACACTTTTAAGTCCATTAGCTAAGAAAGGTGGTAGGAAACATATCTGGATGGAGGGCTTTCTTTGATCTGCTTTTTTGTGACACTCCAGTGAGGAGAGAAGAAAGCACCAACAGCACTCAAAAGCCAGCCTGCTTATCAAACAAAAAGACATTTCTTTCTCTGAGTAGAAGCAAAAATTTTAATTAACTCTCCACTCTCCTGTGGTGGATACGTAATCTCCGATCACACCTGGAGTGTTAAAAAAATGGAGCATATCCTGTGGTTTTTCAACTCGTATAAAAGGAATTCATTTGTATTTATGGCTCTTTTTTCCTTTGTTCCCTATAATTTCTCCAGTGATTGCAAATCAACTAAAGAAATAGACATCCTACACAACCTTTCTTTACCCTCCAAAAATTAGGACAACAGAATGTAGAGTTTACTAAGAAATGCATTTGTCTTTTGATCATTTTAAAGATCCTCTATGCAGGGAAATAATTAGGAATTCATAAATTGGTCCAGTGAGAAAGTTTGTATTCTGAATGTCAGTTTGCTCTTCTTTTCTCCTGTGTTTCTTCTGGGAAGCAATCTGGGAGAAAAGGAGTTTGAAAGAAAATATGTTGCTCTTTATACATGATTATAAATGAAGACAGGAATTTGATTTCCCTTGTCTGAAAGGTGCTTGACACCATGTCTGGGGTGGTCTCCATACCTGAAAACAGTGACTGGGGACAGTTTGCCTCTGTTCCTGACATCCACAGGATTGAGCCCTTGCCTTTCACCAATTAGGGTGTGTAAGGAGGAGTTCTACAAAAACTACCTCTGCCTCTTTTGTAAAATTGCTACCAAAACACTAATGCCCATAAATTACTGGCAGGGTGTGCTTATACTACTCTTATTTTACTTGTCAATTTTAGGTATCCTAATTTTCTACCATGGGAAATAAAGGTTTAGTGCTCCCATATACATTTCTTATTTCCTTTTTCTCTGTGCTTCAAATGGTTTTTTTGTAATTTAAAGTAAATCAAAAGTCAGTGTTTGTGTTATCACAGTTTTGCAAATATTGCTCTATGCTGGGTCAAATTATGCACTGTGACCATGCCTTCTTTTTTATATAACCCTCTGTTTTTCCTGGAGTTAATTATTACCTCAATTTTTTTCATCTTCCTGGTTGTACATGAACCCATCACTAATTCATCCCACATGTTGCAATACCTCTATTTAATGCCTATCAATAAATATGCCAAGATCCTAAATACATTAGTTCCATTTTTCCCCACCGGAGACATCATTTCTGAACCCTTGCTCCAATCTGGTCTGGCTGCTTTCCATGCCTGGGTTCTTCCTAAATTAGCATCTATGGCTAGTATGTTCTCTTTTTTTGGTTTCCTTCTCATTTTGCAGGAACACATCCTGTAGTGACTCTCTAGGCAACAATGCCCTAGAAGTCATCTGAATCTGTACATTTCTAAAAATGCCTTTGTCTTAAATAACAGTTTAGGTACAGAAGTCTGGGCTGAAATTGATTTATCTGTCAAAATTTTCAAAGTACCTCTGGTAGCTTCTAGATGTCAGCAATGCTATTGAGATAATCTATTTTGATTACTAATACTCTAACTGTAACATGTTGTGTTGCTTTGAAAGTTTTTAGGATTTTTTTTCTCCCCTAGAAGTTCCAGAATTTCATGACAACGTGCTTTGGTGTGGGTCTTTTTTACCCAAAGGATTGTTCACCTGATGGCCTTGCAATCTGAAGATTCTTGTCCTTCGGTTCTGAAAAGTG